CGCCGCGCCAGCGCCCCACGGCCCACCCGCCTGGCAGACATCTCCCGCGCGTTGGCCGGTCGCTAAGGCGCGCGCGTCCGGCGCTTCTGGAAGGGTTTCTCCAAGAAGAGCCGGCTCTGAATGGTGGTTTGTGGAATTCCTTCCCCAGCCGGGCTGTTTGCTTTCAGCGGCTTTCGCTGATGCAGCTCTAATTTGGGGAAAACCTCAAACCTACAAAGCGCGTAGCTGTGAGGCAGCACCCTGCAGTAAGGTCACAGCGCAAACGCACCTATTTATGCACGTACTGGCTCTTATTCCAGACGTGCTGGACCAAATCCTGGCTTTTGACAATTATTTTCCTTATTCCTCTCCTGAACAATTCCTGTCAGATACTTCCAGTCAGCGCTGGCAGCACTTTTACCCACGGGCATGCACTAGGCAAAGCGACCTTCTCAAAAGCCACAGGCTAAAGCGCCCTTAACCGTTCATCTGAAAATCAGACCACAAAAATTAATTTTTATTATTCATTATTATCATTCTATCATTTAAATAAACGAATATTTTTAAAAGTTATATCCCAAACATAGCTGTTTCTCAAAGCTAATGGGACTTTTTCCCCCCAAAACCTGCAGTTCCCCAGTGGCTCAGGGGTTGCTCTCCCAGCCCTTTCCAGCCGGCGGGGCGGGTGCTGCCACGGGTGCCCGGGCCCCGCCGGTGACCTCGCGCTGTGGCGTTGCCGCCTGTGGTGCGGGCTCCCCGCAGCGCTCTGCGTTGGAGGAGGAACAGGGCTGCCCGCCGGCGCCCCCCCCTTCCCCCAGCTCCAGTGCCCCCCTGCCCGGCGGGGACTGTCCCTCCAGCCCCCAGCCCCAGCTGGGGCGGCTCTGGGAACCCGAGGGGTGCTGGGGGGCGGCCGGCACCGTCCCTCGGCCCAGCAGGCTCAGCCGTCCGCCCTCTCCTCCAAAGGGCTGCAACGCTCACAGCTTAGGAATCAAGAGACGTGTTTTAACTTGGGATCCCAACCTCACCCAAACGTCTACAATGTATAATGGTTTAAAGGCAATCATCCTTCTCCAGGAAAGCTCTCCTGTTGTCTGCATCTCTTGCAAGGTCGTTGGAGCCTGTGACTAACTGGAGGAATGCTGAACAAGATCTGGCTTGCTTTTACACATACATTTTCTCCCCTAAAATATGTGTGTAAACCCCTCTATTCCTTCTTGCCTCTCTATAAATAGCCCAGCCGAAGACAAACCACCCCCATCCACGCCTTCCACAATCCCAGGCTTGACCTGGAGAAAAAGTTACGAGAAAATTCAGAAAAAAAAAACGGGTGTTAAAAATGCACGTGGAAAGCTCTTGATATCCATCTGGGAAACTGCCCCTGCAGACAGCTGCCAGCGGGGACTGCAGGGCAGGGCAGGGTAGCCCCGGTGGCCGGTGACACGCAGCACGAGCCACCGGCAGAAAGCAAAGCTCAGGCATCGCCCGGGAGGAGAGCAGCGAGGGGGAAAGGGATTGCTGCTCCTCGGGGCTGATCCGCAGCCCAAATCATCCAGGAGTGCCGCGACTGAGCTGCTTTCTCCTCCCGGGACAACGCAACAGCCACGGGCTGCACACGCGCCCTGGGCCCGGCCACGTGCCTTTTTGAGGAATGAATGGAGAGTGAATGCTCCGCACTCGGTGAGCAAACAAGGCGACCTTCAGCGCTGCCCTGGCACGCGTCCGTGCGTACTCGGGAGAAGCAGGCTACGTCCCACCGTCCGGCAGAGCGCGGCACGTCTGCCACCGCCACGGCGCATCCCCTGCCGAAACGGCGACACCCGGGAAGCCTTTCACCTCCTGGCAGTATCTGCTGGTTGGGAGACGCAGGGTGGCCTGGAGGTGAGGCGGCCCTTGGAAGTGGCAAGTGTAAAACACCTCCTCAAAAGTCATCCCTGCCTGATTTTGTGAGTTCATGGTGCTTAGAGCCAGGGCTGTCAGCAGGTGAAGGCTGCGGCTGCGAAGCTCACCGCGTGGGTAAAACAGGACTGATCCAGTGAGAAGGGCATCCCGACCCCCGCACGGGAGAGAGCCGTGAAAAACGGCGACCTCTTCACACACGAAGGAGATCCCAGATCCAGAGCGTCCCCCGCCCCAAGCCAGGGTCCCCTGCCAGCACAACGCAACAGGCAGTGCCCCCAAGCACTGGGGCTTTGCAGCTCCCCTGGCAGAGACACCCAGAGTCAGGTGCAGGGGGAAAAACGACCAACTTGGGTTTAAAAGTTGACTAAATTTTGGAAACACTCCCTTAAAAGACAAATCGAAGGCTTGAGTGTTTGAGTGTGTGTATGTGTGCCAGCAAACCCAACAGAGCTTGTGTGTGTGTGTCTGTAAATATATATATACACACAGAGATATGTTTATACACACACATATATAAATATTCAGGACTGCAGCAACGACCTCCCAGGTAACAGCACTGCAGCACAAACCCGACATGGTACATGTGTGCTTTACACCAACACGCGCAAGATGAAAAAGAGGAGTGGAGTCATTTCTGGTCGGGAAGAGCAGCACCACACCTTTCGATCTCTGTGCCTGTATCTAACTTTCCTGAACGCCAGAGAGTGGACACAAACCCCTTTGGACTAAGAAAGCAACTGCAGGGCTTGAGGACAGGGCTGGAAATGTCCTGCCTGCAGCACAGGTAACGCTCCAGCCGCTCCTCCCTCCCCGAGTCTTTAAAGCAGGGCAAGAAAGGCTGCGTGGGGCCGCGGGCTGAGCAGGTCCCCAGTGGGGCACAGAGTGGTGTTGGGGGTGCCCAGCACCTCCCGGTGTTCCTCGGAGGGATGCTCCAGCTAACACCCGTCCTGCCTGCAGGGAGGGAGCCTGCACCCCTTCGCACCAAAGGTTTAACTCACCCCCCGGGCTCTGCAAGCACCGGGTCAGGCGAAGCAAGGGCAGAACATCCACCGAGCCGCTGAGGCTGCAGCGTCCCCCATGACACAGCCCAGCGTTCAGGACCGGGGCTGGAGCAGCCACAGCTCCTCCCGGGAAAAGCCTGGCACCACGACCAGCCCCTGGCACGTCCCAGGCAGCGGCGGGCACGAAGGCTCCGCAGGCAGAGCCGGGGGACGGTTTCAAATAAAAGCAGCGAGGCAAAACCCGTTAATAACAAGGAGCACCTACCGTGGTGTAATGCTGCATCGGGTCGCTGATGTACAGCATTTTAGTTGTCTCGGGATTCACAGAGCGCTGGGAAGCGTCCTGCCACGGGAGTCATGGGGTCGGGGCGCGGCGAGGCCGGCCGGGGTGGGAAGGCAGGAGGAAGGAGGGAGCGCGGGAGCAGGGCCGGGGCGGGCAGCGCCAGGGATGCTGCGCTGGCCACCCGTGTGCCGCCGTGTGTTGGCTTTTTTGCTTTTTTCATCTCCCTTAGTTCTGTCAACTAGCTGCATCCAACAACAAAACGGGGCCCACCCCTTCTGTCCCTCATGACTATTCATTAAAGCACAGGGCAGGCCCCAGCTTGCCCAGTGATGGACTGGGCGATACCAACCATTCCCACTGCAGGGAGAGCGGGGGTCCAGCTCCATCACCAAACCCCACTCGATTCCACTCCAGAGAGCTGCTCGCAGCCACCCGGGGCTGGAAACCCATTGGGCCAGTTCCCTGCACCAGCAGAACGAGGGGGCTGCGCCTGCAGCCACCAGATGATGCGGTGACTCTGAGATACCTCAGAGATACGGAGTCACCCCTCCCCAGATGGATAGATGTGGATAGGTGCGGGCGGATGGATGGATGGATGGATGGATGGATGGATGGATGGATGGATGGATCTTTAGGTGGATGGATCGGGGTAGATAAGGACAGGTGGCTAGACAGATACCCAGATATCCAGATGTGGCAGATATCTAGATGGATAGACATGGGTAGAGGGCTGTCTGGAGTGACCAGGCAGATCTTCTGACTCAAGGCAGATGGGGGAACGGTGTTTCCTCCAGGCAGACCCTGCCGTGGAAGGCTGCACGTGGAAGCAGATGAGCAGTTCAAATCGTTGTGGTGTATTTCGAGAGGTGGAACCAGCATCGTCCACCTCCCAGCGCCGCTGTGCAGGCGCAGAGCCCCGCACAGGCAGGGTGGCGGTGCCGTCGTACGTAAAGCTTAAAGCACAGCACAGACCACTAGCCCTGGAGTTGCGGTCTCTAAGCACGGCTGAGGAGTCGCTGACATCTTTAATGGCAGCAGCTCCTCCCACAGGACCCTGAAATTGGTTTTCAGGAGCCACACAGCACCAGTGCAGAGCAGCACGCCTGACCGGAGGGCAGGTCACAGGGCGTCTGGCTTCTTCTCGCAGCCACTGAGCACCACGAGCAGCCCTCATCACCGCAGGGACCCCCTCCGCTGCGGCTCCATGTCCTGTCGTTCTTCCAGGCCAGAGGCATCATGTTATCTGTGCATTTATTGTCACACGTGCCAGCCTGCCATGCGTTTCGGTGACACTGGCCGGCAGCTGGCGGCGGCGGCTCCCTGGGAGCTCAGCACAGCGCCTGCTTGCACGGTCGGGCCAGTGTAAATATTTACTACTGGCTCAATATCCCGAGTGAGGGCCGGGAGCCGGCTCTGCCCTGCCTGTCAGCAGCCGCTGGGCTCTGAGCCCTGCGTGGCCATTGCTTGCCCGGCCCTGGCAGCACCCCGGCCCACACCGGCTCCTGCCGGGCTCGGCTGCGGTTACAGCGGGAACAAGAAGAAAAGCGAGGGCGAGCTCAGCGAGGGGCAGCTCCCCCAATTAGCACCGCCTGAGCCTGCTGCCAGGCCCCTGCCCGCTGCAGACAAAGGCCGGGGAAGGGAGGGAAATCAGGGGGAAAGCGAGGGAAAAGGGGGCTGGGGGAGGGGACGCGAGCTGGCGAGGAGGGAAACGGCGGCTTTCTGGAGGGAGACGCTGCCTGCGGCCAGAGCCGCTTCAGGGGTGCTCCCGGGAGGCCGCCCCGCGCGGGGCACTGGACATGCGCCAGCGGCCGGGACGTCTCACACACCCACTACGCTTTACAAACCCTTTGCCTAGGTCGGAGACACGCTAGCTTCACGAGGGAAGGGCCTGGACCCCGGGGGCCTTGGCGGGAGCAGAGCTGGGCGTTGGGAACGCGACGTGTCCCTCCAGCCGCTCTGCCTCGCCAGCACCTTTCACTACGCAGCACATTTATACCAGAGCTAATTATACTCCCCTCTCGTCGAGGAGCTTGAGCTCCACCGCCGTTACAGCCCCTGCTGCTGCCTGCAGCCATGTTATCTATGAATAAGTAGCCACTATTTCACTGCCCGCTGTCCCACCCGGCCGCCATCCTGCCGCACAGTCACCGACTATCAGACCCTGCAGCGATGACACCAGTGCTGCGCCTGCAGTGTCTGTGTTCGGTTTATGAACCAGCACCCCACTTCCTACCCCTGAGCCCCCGACCCGCTGCAGGGAAAACAAGTCTGCATTTGACACAGCTCCCATCTGTGCAGTCTGAGCACACTCACCATGACCGAGTCGTTCATGCTTCTCATCTGGAAGACGTCCATCGTGACCTCCGTGCGGTCAGAGACCTCGTTGCTGCCTGTATGGTTGGATGGAGGGAGGTCGAAGTAGGTGCTGTCTGGCTCCCTGTGGGGAAGGTGAGGGCACAGTCAGCCTGCCAGCTCTTGGGTGCAGCCTGTACCACGGCCACCCTGCCACTGGCCATTCCCTCGAACCTTGTGCCCTTCCCAACTTCTCCCTCCATCCTCCACTTTTATTTTCACACAGCAGAGCAGGCTTTGCTCAGGCAAACTGTTGCTCGGTGGGTGAAGCAGGCAGAGATGGGAAGTTTTTCACCCACCCAGCAGCTCTACTGTATCTGTCACCTCGAGATGTCCTTAAGTGAGAGGACACCAAGGAAGAAAGAGGATGAAATGAAGCACAGCCCTTCTTCCTTGCTGTGTGTGAGCCTCAAAGGCTGGGAGACTTGCAAAAGTCTTGGTGTGACTAGAAGACATTTAGTTTTAGAAAACATCTGTTTTAATTAGGCAGCCACCAAGCCTCATGACCTCGTGAATGAAGACTGACGAGTAAGAGCGCATCTTCCCGGGCTTGGTCCCAGCGTCCCCTGACACACCCCTGGCAAGGGTCCCAGCGGAAAGGGACCTTTGCTCTGGCCCTGATGCCATCTCCACGCGGCCCCACACTCAAGACAGATGGTGTCATGTACCAACGCCTGGGAACAAGGCGTGTGGGGCTCTGCTTTCAGGATACACATGCTCCATGGTCTTTGAACCACCCAGCATCACCAGGGCAAAGGGGTCTGGCAAATGAAACGGTCCGAGTGGAGAGATTGGAGCCTGGGAGCCGAGCTCGCAGTGTGGGAAAGGAAAATGTGAGAAGGGGAGCATGCAAAAGAAACTTGGCTCCCTCCTGGCCGCAGTGGTGATACGTGCTAACACAGATTACAGGGCAAGGGGCTACCTCTGCCCCGGAATACACCTCAGGGCGAATATCAACCACCACTTACAGCGTGCTCCAGAGGTGCTCAAACGTTGTGCCTTCATCAGCTGGAGATGACTGGGACATCTTCACAGAGGGTGAGTCTGGCAGGGGATAGATCGCTCTAGGGGCAGAGAAACAGCGAGGTTAGCGCTGCCGAGTGCTGCCCCCACTCAGCAAAGCGGCCAGCGAAGAGCGGGAGTTTCCCCCCTCACTCCCAACAGCAGTGCGGGGACCGGAGCCCCAAAGGGCCCGTTGTGGGGAGACGGTGTCCCTCTCCCCCCCGGCGGGCTGCAGGCAGGGACTGGCCCCGAGCCCAGCTGGGCTTGCACGGGATGGGAGGTGGCCAGCAGCACCCTCACTGCAGGACAGGACTGCAGATCAGAGACAAACCCCCCCGGCTTTCCCGGAGCGGGGGTATTTCTCGTCCTTACAAATATGTGGGTGTTTTGGAAAGGGCCAAAGTGGCAGGGAGTTGGGATGTCAGCCCATTTCTGCTAAGCACTGGTCCTGTGGCTCAAGGCTTCCATTTAAGACGTTTACAGTGTGCTTCAGCGTGGCTACAAACGGCTCCCCCAGCCCTGGGGAGGCTCCACACAACTGTGAGTAACCACCTTGGCCCAGCTTCATTCAGCAAAGGGCTCAGACTCTCCGGTTAGACACAGCGCTACCAAACTCTCGAGTATCGGCTCTCTGAATCAAACCGAAACCTCAAGCTAGGAGGGAAAAAAAAAAAAAAAAATCTTGCAGCAAGAATCAGAGCCAAAGGCCCTTGTTGCAGCCCCGGTCTGGGCTGCACAGCGTGGCCCTTGAGAGCAGCCTGGGTGCCTGGCTGCTCGGGGCCGGGACCAGCACAGGGGTGGGGGAATCCTCTTCCGCGGATCTGGGGAATACGGGAGGGACGTTCCTGGCTCTGCATCACCTCAGTGCCACCAGTTCAGGCCACGGGGGTACCCTTAGGCTGGTATGTGAAACATCTTCGGGCGCCAGCAGCTCCGAGCGAGGCGTGCCAGGGGAGCGGGATGGCGGAGGATCCGGGCCGCGCCGGAGCTGCGGCATCCCCCGTGGCCAGGGGCCATTTAACTTCAGAAGGAGTCTGCCTGTGCTCTATTTGGATCTAGCCCTTCATCCCTGAGCCTGGTTTTAGGCACAGGGCAGTTTTTATCCCAGGAACATCATTTGTCAACATATTTTTCTTAGGAAGCTCTAGTTGTAAATGCCCACAGATCAGTGAAGGCCTAAAGACAGGTAAGACACCCGGATGCACAGTGCAAGTTTACGGTGAAGCCACGACGCAGACACCATAGTTCTTACTTGCTCAGACATTAAAGTGACCTTCCCACCTCTGAGCAGCTTGCAGACCTTACTGAACGGACTTTATAACCCCCAGGTAACACAGGGCAGGAATGCTGCCTCTGCTTTGCAGGCAGGGAAGCTCGCTGGGAGGAAGCACAGCGCTCACCCGGGACCGCATGCGGGAAGCCCGTGGGAGAGGCAGTTCTTGAGCCAAAGCCTTACGAGCCCTACTGCAGGGGCACGGCCAGAGTCATCCTCAACTCAGTCCGTTCCTCTTGCCCCGGGACAAGGTTTCTCGGCCTCTTTCAAGCGCGGAAGGAAGCACGCAGCATAGCTCGGCTCTCTTTGTGCCCATCACCTCTCTGACCCCAGGAGCGGCACAGTTCATGGAGCCATCTTGAGCCCCACGCTGCCTTCCTCTCCTGGCAGCCCCGCCATGCCAGCGTCCTCCTCCTCGCCCCCTGGCAGCAGCAGGACACTTCCCTGCCCTGGCTGACATGGATGTGCCCCAGACACCATCTGGCTACTCCGTTTAACCCACACCAGCATTAGCATCTCGTTTCAACTCGGTACCGACATCTAATAGTGAAAGCCTGAAAACTTCCTGCTTTTGGGGCTCGAGCTGCCAAGCACGAGGGCAGCTGCTTTCTAACTGAGTGATGCTCGGGGTCACCCGGGCCCCTCTGAGTCAGCTGGGGACCGGGTGGCCGTGGGGGCCGCGAGTTAAAATGAAAGCAGGGAGGTGTCCCCCGAGAGCTGAGCTTGTGGGCTGCCTTCTGCTGCATCCACGAGACACGGCATCCACACTCTTCCAGGAGGGTCTGCCACAGAAGAGGGCGGCTCGTTCCCCACGGGGCTCATCACAGAACAGCCCGCAGCGAGAGCCTGCTGTCCTCCTACCTCTCCTCATCCACGTGTGACACACAGAGAAACGAAAGCACCTACACGGCAGCTTTGCGGAAAGGAAAAGCCTAGAGCGGAGGGAGGCGACTGCTGGTGGCCTTACCCTGCTTCCATGCTGCTCTCCCTGGCCCAGGGCAGCGGCAGCCTCAGGAAGGAGCCAGGCCTTTCCCTTCAGTGCAGAGAGCACCTCCGCACCGCCCCGGCTGTGTGGTCATGATGGGTGACACCAGCTCTAACCACGTGGCTGCACTCGTTTTCGAAAGGAAAAAAATCTGAATATTTTAAGGGCGTTTTGGAAGTTCCCTTTCTCTTTCAAAGCACAATCAGCGCCAGTATCTTCTCACACTTGAGCTCTGAACTCTGTGGTACGAAGAGGAGCTCGAGTTGTGCGTTAACGCACATCCCTCCTGCAGCCATCACCGCACATCTTGGGGAAGCATCTCTGCAGCCAGAACGGCAGCCTGACAGCCGGGCACCTAGGATGCTAAAGAATGACAAAAGACCTTGCAGACAGGGTTCCCCGAGGTTGGCAGTGGTGCCAACGACAGTGTAATTTCCTCTAAAAGGCGATGCCATTTAGAGTCCCATGATGCCATGAATGGTGGAGGCATTCGTGTGTGGGGAAAGGGCTCTGATGGGGAGCTCCAGCAGGAGGAAGCAGCATCCCATCAGAAGCAGTGGAGGCCCCGTGGCACAGCTAAAGGTGAACTAGGAAGAGCCTTAGAGACTAATGACTGGATGGGTTGGATGTAATTACCCTCCCCGTGCCCACAGGCTGTGTCAGTGGCACCAGGAAACGACTAACCTGGGGCTGAACGCAGCAGCAGTGGCAGAGTTTGAGATCAGCCGCGGCCCGGGCTCAGCTTTTCAGTCACTTCCAGCCCCCCAGGTCGCTTCAGAGGCTGTTTCACCTCTGCTACAACTGTGTCACCCGTGTCCCAGCACCAAAGGAAAGCCCTGAGGTATCACCCTGACTTCTGCCAGAGTTTAACCCCTCCCGAGCCCCAAACCTGCTCGTTAAACCGAAGATCTTGCCCAGGCCCGAATGCCTCAAGGCAGCAGGGAGGGGTGGGGGACGCTTGGTGTGGGGAGCCTGCAGCAGGACCGACACCGGATTTATCGCAGCGTCGAGAGGAGGAGAGACCGAACGTGCACACGGGGGGTTCGGAGCGGGGCGCCGGGGCTGCCGCCGTGATTTGCCCGTTGGTGCCGGGGAGAGCAGCTCTCCGCGGGCTCCCGCAGGCCGGCTCCACGGATCGCTGGATTGCTGCTTCCCTCTGTTGCGAGTCAGGGCATTGCAGGGAAACAGCACAGGGGGAAAACGGGAGTACAGAGCCTGTGAAGAGACAATCCTCCAGCCTCGCTTGCACTGGGGCTCGGCTCAGCACCAGGGTGGGGGCTGCTGCCCCGCCAGGGACGGGGGAGCTGCCTGGGTCGCAGTTCCTTCTGTCCACCTCTCCTCCCTGGGAACTGCCACCGCAGTGATTTCCAAAGGATCAGCATGGAAACGCTCAGCCTGTTCCACCTTTTCCCCACCGCCGTGACTCCGGGTATAGACGAAACACCAAGCCAGCCCCAGCCCAGCTCAAGCAGCCGTTTGTCCCCCAGCCCCAGAGACACACGGAGAACGAAAACACCCACCAAGGTCTGCTACAGCTGTCCCGAGATGGGAGAACAACTCTCTGGAGAAGCAGAGCAGATAAACTTGCATATATTCAGCTGTGCTTCATTCAGTCCACGCTCTGTGTTTTGACCACAGAATCTGACTCTATTCTTAGAATTATAAACTCAACTTCCTTCTTTCATCAGTGTAAGGAAGGTGAAGGGTACTGCAGGCGTAACGGGGGGGCCGGAGCCTTGCTGAGAGTGATGCCTGGCAGCTGGGTTTCTGCGCTCTCTAGAAGGAGCATCCTTGATCTCACCAGTATCGTTAAACCCTTTAGGCTTAAAGTTTTAGGCACCTATAAGGGTCCACTGCTATTTCACCTAGCAATAACGTATTCCCCCCTATCCTGCTACTCTTAACAGCTCAGAATGAAATGTTACAGCATTCTGCAGCCACCTTAAAGGGAGATAAACGCACAAAACTTGTATAACAGGGCTATTCCTAATTTCTAAAGATTCTTGGCCATCCTGAGAGAGGAAAACTTCTGAGAGCCATTTCCAACTCTTACACCAAGCTGCTGTGTATTGCTTGGTGGCTTATGAACCAGCCCCAGGACTTTCCTCTCCACAATGAGAACCATCAGGCTCATCCAGCCCACAGCAAATAACTTTGTGTTTGCAAAATGCTGAAGGATCCCAAGGTGCCAACGCTACCCTGTGCTATCACTCATTTGTCCCAGATTATTAAATTCACACCTGCAAACTGAGGCTTGTAAAAGCGACCGAGAGCGAGCGAGCTCTCCCGCAGCACACTTGAATCGCGGGAGCCCTCCTTGGGGTCCAGCAGCTTATTAACAATTTTCTTTCCAAGGAGCAGGCAGGTTCCACAGAAATCCTCTCTGAAGGACAGAGTTGTCGGCAGGGAGCTCGCACCAGGGCAGAGGCTAAAGCAGCCAACTCTCCCTCCCTCCCCGGCAGCCGAGCGTCAGCCCTGCCTGGGGACCCCGGCGGCGGGCAGGCAGCCCCAGCATCCTGCCGGGACCCAGCCCTGCCGCTGCTTTTCCCATTCAAGGCTTGGCTGTTTTTTTCCTCCGAGAGTGCTTTAACTTTGGATCTAAGGCACTTGGGAGCAAACTTTCCGAGATGCTTTAATATTGTGTAACTAGCCTACAAAGCAAAGCGGCGGCAAACCATCTTCCAGCTGCGTGAGAGAGGGTCGTGCTGGGTAACTCACACACACAAATAGCAAGGGGTTTCCTTTTGTCGCTTTTTTTCTTCCTACCTGCTCTGGCTCCCCAAGCGTCTCGAGTTCCCTCGGAGGTCTCCCGTGGACAGGAGCGGCCTGGGATTGAGGATCTATGTTATTTACTGCCCTACAATCAAGTAGCGTCCCGGTCGCCTAGGCAATGACATTGGAGCTGTTGAAAGCTATGTGAAAAGTGAGGCAAAAGCTTGTGCGCTCCTTCCTGGAATAGGAGGCGGTTGCAAGGGGGTGGGGAATGCTCAGCCAAGCGTGCCGGGGAATTAAGCTGGTCACCAGCGCCAAAGTGACTCCGGGGCAAGTTGGCTCTGGGGGCTCCGGCAGCGGGAGCCACCCGGCAGTGCTGCACCCGAGGCAGCTGCTGGGGGCTAATCCCGAGGGAGCGGGGAAGGAGATTCCACGTAGACCGCCGCACCAAAGGAGGCTCTTCCCCTCACCAGACTGATGGACTGAGTCGGTTTTGTGTTCAAAATGACCAGCTCACCCCTCCTGGAGTGTCAGAGGAGCGGGGCAGCCTGCCTGGGGGACCAGCAAGGGCCTGACCTTCCACCACCCCGCGTCCCCCATGGGACAAACGGCTCGCCAAGGCGCACGTAGAGCGGCAGCGGATGAAGATCGAGTATTTCTGATTAAAAACCATCAGCTGCGAGGCTAGTTATCTGCGCTGTGTGGACCCACTGATACACCTTCTTACTGACACCCGTTTCTAAAAGCTACCGTTTTGCTGGGCGCTTGCCCTTTAGCCTGCGCCCGGTGACTTGGGGAAACGGTGAGCGGGGCTCGTTACCGTGAGCTCCTCAGCGGTGCCGTTACGTCGCCCACCTCCACTCAGAAACCAGCAGGCAGGGCTCTGCCCGCAGGCCCCCACACTTCGCCCTCGGGGGCAGATGGTGACCAGGGAGCAGGAGTCACGCTCGGGCCCTTCCTTACTGGCAGGGCTGGAAAAAAGATGCATTTACCAGCCCCTACACACATTGTGGTGGCTGTAACCAGTTTTTGGAGCTGAATTGCCTAATCCGTGGTGAAAACTGGACTCTGAGCTCTGTTCTGAGCCCAAGGTTTACTTTTGAAACGATGATGATTGCGTTCCCCGGACAAGGAGGTGTGGTCCCACCTGGAGTGCTGTTCTTTCTGGCCACCAGACTCGGGCTGCTGCTCGGGAGGGGCTCGTTGCCCACCCACAGATGTGGGGGTGATGGGTTGGCTGGGCCAAATGAGGAAGGTTCCGCGTCCCCCATCACTTCTGGGTGGCCGCTCGCAGGGAAGGGACACGGAGGACTCTTCAGCTTTTGTGCTGGGTGCCCAAAGGACCGGAGAGTTTTCAGACACAGACGTCCCTGTCACGGCCCTCGGTCCCCCCGGTTGGCTCCTCTGCTCCCCGGCAGCCCGGGGCTGTTTCCTCAGGGAACATGGACCCTGGGAGGGGCAATCCAGGCCTCTCCCCCTTAACGGGCCAGCCCTGGCTCATTCTCCTCTCAAAACTTCTATTGATTGATTTATCCTCATCCGATTAGCGCCCCGTTTACTGGTGCTGTTTCTACTGCAATTTGCAGTCCCTCCGCCCTAGCTGGGGAGCCTTCCCCAGGACGTCGCGGCCGCTCCCCCGTCGCTGTCAGTAATTAGTCAGCGGTAATTAGCCGGCGGGCCCGTGCGCGGGATGTTGCCCGCGGAAAAGCGGGAGCGAAATGACTGACGGGGCGGGG